TGTTACTAGATCAATTCGACTATGATAAGTTACTCTACAACATTATTACCTGATTACTTCCTGTTGAATATTGTTGTTACTAGTGTATCATTGCAAGTATTGTTTTGTATTCCTTATCCTGCTTAGCTTTATATTAATATTATTTCTCTGTTAGTTCATCTACACACTTGTTCAGGTTGTTTAGTCCGGTAGGTATCTTGACTGTCTCTCGTCACTACTCCACTGAAGTTAGTCTTGATACTTACTGGGTACCGCTGTGGTGTACTCATACTATGCTTCTGCACATTTTTGTGCAGATCTAGGTGCCACAGTTTTTGTTGATTATTAGCTGGTTGGTCGAGCTGTGGAGACTCAAGGTAAACCTCCCGTCGCGTTCGCAGGCCTCGGAGTCACCTTCTGATATTTTCATTGTACTGTTTTATTCCATTCCGAACAATTGCATTTAGGGATTTTCTAGCAAACTCAGTAGAGCTTATTACTTGTACTACCGGTTTTGGGAATTGTAAGTTATGTATAAAGATTTCTATTTCGTATTTATCATTGATGGTTGAATTCTTCTATTAATTTAGTAAGTGTTAGGCTTACCTAGTCTTAGAGACTAAGTGCCGTCACGACATCCAACGAAGGAAAAATTGGGGCCGTGACAAGCCCACGCTAGAAACTACTTATATTCAGTAGCCGAAAAAGTGTAAAAAATTTGTATAATTTTTATATATAACATACATAATGTATTATACAAAAAATATATATGTTTTGGGGTATTATCACTTTTAGCCCGCGCCAGAAACTATTTATATTTGGTAGCCGAAAAAGTTTATAAAATTTATATAATTTTTGTATATAACATACATAATGTATATATATACAAAAAATATATATGTTTTGGGGTATTATCACTTTTAGCCCGCGCCAGAAACTATTTATATTTGGTAGCCGAAAAATTTTATAAAATTTATATAATTTTTGTATATAACATACATAATGTATATATATACAAAAAATATACAAATTATATATATATTTTTGGCTATTATTTTTACAACGGCTATATAGTGTCATTTTTCCAATTTTGTTTTCTATTATATTGAGAGTGGCTATACAATGTCATTTTTTCTTTAATTAAACATGGCTAACGGGTCGGGCTGGCTCAATTTCGGATAGGACCAGACCGGCTTCCGACGAGACCGGTCCGGCCCGGTATATCGAAGGCCGGATAAGGGCGGGCTTAAGTAGGAATCAGTCTGTGCTGGGATGGCGCTACCGAAGTACCGGACCGGTTGGAACCGGTAAAGACAAACCATGTTGGATCCGGTTACCCGGACCGGCCTGAACTGGTTCAACGACTAGTTCAGATAATTTTTTTTTTTTAATTGTAGTTGACCGTTGGCAACAATCAGCTCTAATGTTGACTGTTGCCCAACGACCTGATTTACAACAATAGCCCCTTTTGGGGCTTTTTAAAAAAAAATAATAACACCATTATTATTTACTAATTTGACCCTTTGAAAAACTATAAATATGCCCCTCGTCTTCTTCATTCCTTCACTCATCTCTCAAGTCTCAATTCACAGATCTCAAATTTTTAATTGTTATTCTCTCATTCCTCTACTAAATTGCTATCATCTATTTGGCTCTCATGTTTTTGAATTTTATTTATAGTGTTATTTGAATTTTGAAGAATTGAAGTTTAAAAGAGTTGGAGTAGTAACAACTAACGAGCAAGTTCATTTGTGATAACGTCAAAGTTGCGAAATTTAATTTTAAGGCTTCAAAAATCATGAAGTGTTCAATTTATTGCGAAATTCAGTGCACCCCTTCCAACTCTTTCTCTTATTTAATGTTTTATCTGCATACTTAATTTTTGCATATTTAATTTTTATTAGTTTTAAATTTTAGTAGTTAAATATTTACAATATGTTTAATGTTGCAAAATAAGTTTGTAGTACGGTTGCTAATCGGAATAATCGTAAAAATAGAAAAAGAGGTGCTAGTTCAACTTTTGGTAGTAATATAAATGACTTTACACATGTTTCTATAACATTACTTGATAATAATATAGATTATAAACAATTACAGAAAGATTACAATGTAGATGTTAATGAATTAGAAATTAAAAATAAGACACCACCTGCATCTAGCAGTTTTGGAGTTGGTCAGACCTAGTCTAGAGGGGTGGTGGCCGTGACACTAATAGACTACATGTGGCCCCGACTACTAGTCATCGGAGAAGGAAGTAGAGTTTGATATTTTTGTTTTGAGAAAATAGAGAATTCCAATAGAGTTAGATGTAAAATTTATAAAGATGATTTTAAACATAAGACTGAGGAAATTTAGGAGGGACTGGGGCACTTAGTAGACATATGAGAGAAAAATATGCTATAGAATGGGGCTCTGATTTAGATAAAAATCAAACAACTCTAAACCCATGTACTTGAGGACTTTTGAAATATGATAAAATGAAGGACCACGAGGAGTTAGCAAAAGTGATTGCTTTAGGTTGTCTATCTTTTTCTTTTGCTTCTTCATCATATATTGTTATGTATATTCAAAGGATTTATAATCCTTTATTTAAAGGTATTCCTAAAAGTACTTGTAAATCTGATTTCCTTAGGCTTCATGGATAATATACATACGTTATTTGTTTGATCATCTTCCTTGTAGAGTTTCTCTAACTTCTGATATTGGCCATGATGTTAATGAAAATGATTATTTGATAATTATATGTTATTGGATAGATGATAATTTTTGTATGCAAAAATGTATTATCGCTCTTAAATATGATGAAGGTCACAAAGTCATACTGCTATTTTTATAAGTACTACTATTTGCAAAGTTGTGGCATTTTACAATCTTAATAAAAAAAGTATTGTGTATGTCTTTTTATAATGATTCTAACAATAATGCCACTATTTCACTATTAAAACTACATTTGCAACCATCACTTGATGATATTTTTCATGTTAGGTGTGCATGTCATGTTTATAATTTAATTGTTAAAAGTGGCCTTGATTTATTTTCGACTGAGACTATTCATGTTGAAGAGCAATTGGTGTTATTCAAGAAAATAATAGACAATCTAAAATTAGGGAATTTAAGGCTAAGTGTACCAAACATAACCTTAACCACAGATTCATGCCATTTGAAATTGTTACTCGATGGAATTATTCATACTTATTCTTAAGATGTTGCTACAAATATAGACTGCCTATAACTGAAGTTGCTAATGCGCATTGTACTGATCCAAACCATATGTTAATAACTAATACATGGGATGCTATTAATTGTCACGACCCAGCCGAGGGCCGCGATAGATAACCAACACTAAGTGCCGATCATCACTAAACCTGGTGATATACTAATCATGGCTATAAACTGATAAACTAAACAAGCATAAGCATAGCTGATAAGAAATGTACAATCTGGAAAGCCGACAAGGCTAACACAAGATGACATATAAAAATATACTAACTGTACAGGTGCATATCTACAGGCCTCTAGGAGTACTGAACTGAACAAGTACTGTATGGAACAGGGTCCCGCCATACCCAAACTAGCTGGTTGTACATATACCAAAAGATAAGTAACTCCGGGAGCAAGCAGAGTGACTCCAACAGCTGATGGATGGCATACTGATGTGGCTCAAACGCTGATATATCTGTACCTGCGCGACATGAAATGCAGCGCCTCGAAAGGAACGTGAGTACGATATGTACAAAGTATGTAGGGTGGAAAGCATTGTAAAGCATACTAAAGTATGACTGTAAGCTGAAAATCAGAATATAAGTTGAAAGCTAAACAAGAGTCTGAACTAGCAACTGATCTGGAACTGAACCGAAGTTTAAGCTGAAACTGAACTATTATCTAAACTAGTACCTGTATGGTGTTATGGGCTATATCCCCCCAATCAGGTAATTGTACATCCGAACTAGCCTCATGTATAGTCATGCAATGCAAATTGTATCTATATACACATATATAACATGCCTGACTGGCGTTATGGGCTATATCCCCCCAGCAGGTAAATATATAATCAATAGGCCCGACTGGTGCTATGGGCTATCTCCCCCCAGCATATAATTAATATGCCTCGCTGGCCTTGTTGAAGATCAATTTTGACTCTCCCTTTTAAAATAAAATTATTTATACTTAACGATTTGCAATGAATGTGTTAAAAATATTTTCTAATCAATAATAGCTATTTTATAGAAATATAGTACAAAATTAGTAATTAATATTATTAAATTAATAAATTGGTATTAAATATTTATGAAACATATTATCCTTACTATTTTAAAATTATTAAAATAACTTCTATATTTTTGATACACAAGCTTTATAATTAACTCAATAAATTAATCCTTGATTTTTAACTAACTCGCTTATTATTTAAATAATCCAAAATTAAATTCATAATTTTGGTAAATAAAGTGTTTTAAATAAATAATCAATTAATTACAGTAATGTATAGTGTATTTCATAATTATATTCTTATTACATTCATTTTGAATTAATTAAATTAATTTTAAGGGGGGTTAACAGATTAAAAGGCAATAATTGCAAATGCTTGATTAAACCCAATTTGGCTATTTGTTAAATCAAAACCAGCCCAAAACACCAGCCCAATCCCCACCTGACCCGGTCCGAAATTTTTCCTCCATTCCACTTTGTCAATCCGCCCAAACCCCTGAGAGCAAATGAAATTTCTCCAAGTCACCGCTCTCAAACACTCACACAAGAAACACACCTCATCTGGATCGTTGATCCAAATAATCAACGGTCCACGATTAAACCAATTTTTTCCTTTTATTTCAATACCCATCAATGATTTATCTCTACTATCGGATTAAAAGAAATCCAACGGTTATCCTTTTTTTTAAAAAATAAACATTTAATCTCCGAAATATCGGAGCCGTTGATCACAATGATCAAACGGATCCCCTTCATCCACCCACTTTAAACCTATCAAACGCCTAACCCTAATTCATTTCCTCCAAGATCGGCTGCCCCCTTTCCCAAAGCTCTCTCCTTTATCTCATCCACTCAACACCCATCAATCCCAAATCCTTGCAAGGTCACAAAATTAAACCTCACACCACTCAATCTCTCTCTTACACCAACGAATCTCGCCGGATTATTTCCTCTTTCATCATTTGATTCGAAATTTCCAAATCTGAAACCCTAGGCTCAAAGAGGAAATCGTCTGATTTCTTCTTTGCCCTTTCTAATCAAGCATGCATGGCAATCCATCTTGTCCCTATACCGTGAATCCTATTTTTTTCATTCCATTTCCATCGATAAAATTCATAAGCCCCAATTTGAAAACCCTAGACCCAAAAATAAAACCTCAAATCGTCTGAGTCCCTCTTATGTTCTTTCAAATCGGAGGCATGCATGAAGGTTTCACAGGCTTCATCATTGTTATTCGATATCTAGAGGTCAAACGCAGTGACCTATAGTCACTGAAGCTTTAACCGATGGTCTTTCGATTCAACGGTCGATTTCTTTTCTCAAGTAAAACCCCTCACCATTTTCCCTCTATTTTCTCTGATTTTACCTGTCTTGCTATCATCATCTACTCTTCGTCATCTTTCACTATCTAAATTCAAATCTGTCGAAACACTAAGACGTTAATGGCCACTATAAATAGGATCCTTAATTGCTCACCTTAAAAAATCAACAACACCTAAGAGAATCGAATACAATTTAAAGAAAGAAAGAAAAGAAAAGCTTTAGATTTCCTCACTGATTTTCACTTTCTCTTTTCCTTCTTTGGTTCAGAGTTCGTTTATTGTTCGGGCTTGAGTTTGGATTCCTAAACGGCTAAACGAAGCTTTTGTTTGGTTTGCTGCTCCGTAGAAGGTCAGTGTACACTGACCCTCCCTTTTCTTTCGATTATTTGTGTTTATTTTGTGATTCTAATGTCTTCTCTGTTGACTTCCTTTTGTTCATGATATATGTTAGTAATCTTATGATTGCCTGCTATGTTTTCTGCTGTTCTTATTGATCTAAAATGATTATTCTCCTGATAACTTATGATTGCCCTAGTATTGCTAGCTAATCTGTGCTAATGAAATCCGTGACTTAACTAGATAACATTTGCTATAGTAGATGATATAAATCCTGTTGAACTCTTGTCATTAGCTAAAAGACTTCTGATGTTTTCTATGACTGTTTTGCTAACCATGCCACCATGCTTATCTAACTTGATTAAGCTATGATCTTAAACTCTTTCTTGACATCCTGTTGAGAGTTTATATCTGCACATCTGTGCTTAGTTTAGTGATGTTGTACCACCTTTGATTCAACTAAATGACCTTCATCATAGTATCCATCCCACACACTTAACCTACCTGTTTGACCAACTAATCTGTTACTATAACTAGGCCTGCTGTATATACTTAATAACTTACATATACTTGTTACTATAACCCGAACTCCTGTAATGAATTCATCATCTTCATCATTTTATTATCTGCTCGTTTGATGTGTCCTGTAATCATGAAATCCTGTAGAAGCTTCCTTGCGTATAAGTTGAGTGAAATATGTTAACTTTCCATGCTTTTGTTTGCCCAGTTGTGTTCATAAAATTCCTGTTTGCTTTCATATAGGAAAGACTCATGCCTAAGCCACTGTATTCTTCACTTGGAATTGCCTTGTAAAAATAGAATTTAAAGCTCACCAGCTTTAACAACTTAACAATGTAGAATGTGAGATGGAAAGTTACTGTTGTCACTCATAGGCTCAAACAAATCCATTAATGCCTGCTTATCCTGTTAAAATGAACATTGTTTCATATCTAGTTGATGTCTTCTGTCTGTGTAGATTTAGTTATGAATTTGGAATATTTGACTGATGATCTGATGGACTAGTGATCATATCACCAAGTTTAGACTAACTTAAAATTGACTACTTGGCCTGCTTTGATGCCTTCACTTAGTTAAACAGGGCTGTTAATATAGGCCTTTGGTGTAGTGAGGCCTTAATCATATGTATGTTTGCTCTTGATTGTTTTCTCAAGACCATTATAATGACTGTTGCTATCTCGTATACTTGGATAAAGGTCCTGAAATGTTAAGCCTACTGAAACTAATTAGTACATGCATTTTCTTCTATCATTCACCCGTGCTCAGATTATCCAATTAGATGCCCCCCCTGAACTTATATTAGTCTACTGATAGTTTTCCATTAACTCTCCTTATTGTACATATGTGACATCTTCTTTAAATATTATGACATATGTTAATAATGGTCATTGATACTATAAGTGCTTGCATCAATCTGTCTTCTTGTGTTTAAGTTCTGATCCTAAGGTTAATAATGTAATCCTAAGGTGTTCATGTCCCTGCATTTTGAATGATGTTTTCTGTAACATTTGAACTTCTTGTAAACTTGAGCCTTTTATGTTTACTGCTGTTAATTACTAAAGTGAATATCTCATTTGTAACTAAACCTTTGGAGAAGAGTTAATGTGAGTGATTAAGGGTATTTAGGTTGGAACCTAGTTTGCGGTTAACGTGCCCTTCCAGGACACAAACACTGCTCGTGGTCCCTAAGACCCTCGTGAACTCTGATGTGCCAGGGATTCAAAGGGTACCTTGTCCATGAATAAGGTTTTTATCCAATCTCTTGGTCATTGACTCTCACTAATCCTTTTAGGATTAATACAAATAAAAGTGGGTTTTCACTCTAATCATATCTAGTTTATACAACTTTATCTTGTTGGACCTCATGTTGCCTTTACTGTACTCTTTAATAATGCCTATTTGTTACCATTTTATTTTGTTGGGCTTCATGTGGCATCATTATTGTCTTCTCTATCTCTATGTATGCATGTTTGAATTTGGGCGTGCCGAGTTTCTTTGAAACTCAAAGCCCAAGTTCCGGTCTAGGGTCCATTTTGCTGAGTGGAGTCTGCCGCTGTTTGTGAACCGGCTGGGCCTGGACCACTAACCCAATCCGAAGAGTCCTGTTTCTCTTTCCCTTTTCCTTTAGATAATAAAGATTAGATGCTCATTTTTGTGTATATCTATATGTTGCTAACATTATTATTGCACATTTTTGTTATGTTTTTGATCATTTTAGGAACCTAGGCAAACTGAGACCCATCGGTAAATAAAGAAAAAAGAATCTGAGTTTGTTTATTATATCCACTGAAATATTTCGATATTTTTGACTATTTACTAATAACAGATAAGAGACTCCGTTTTGATTATCAATAACTATTTTCACAAAGCTTTTTCCGAGTTTTGGTCAGATTTGAGAAACGAATGACATTTCCTCAAAAAAGAGTTAGAATTGAATGGATGTTTACAAGACTGGTTTTCGACAAGTAAAATCAACATAGCTGCTAATGGCGAACAAATAACTTCAAAGGGATTTCTGAAAAAAATACGATTTCAATGGGAATTGATTTTCAAAGGTATAACCATGATGCACTTTTCTAGTATTCTTTATTCCACTAAACTACACAACTTAGCCACATTGTTTCAAAAAATAAGATATTCAAAACATAACCATATTTAACAAGTATTTTTTTAATTTTGTAGATATAACGTTTCAAAAGATTTTTACAAAATTACATAAAACCTATGGACCATTTCTTCAAAGTATATACACCATTCTCTTTTAAAACAAGTAGACTTTAAGACAACACTTAGAATAGTTTCAAACTTTAAATCACTGAACTAAGCAGAATATAGACATCTACTTCCCTAAACCTACGCTAAGTCCTAAGGAGCTACCTTAGCTAGATTTTAGGGGGTGCCTAATACCTTCCCCTTAGAAGAACAAGAACTCTTACCCAAATCTCACCAGTTAGTAGATCAATAAGATAATAATAATAATAATAATAATAATAATAAAAAAATAGGTACCCTATCATACCTTGAAATATTAGGTGGCGATTCTCTTTTATCAATAACAGAGAAACTACTAGTTGAATCTTGTTTTGACCCGTGCAAAATAGGGTACAACAGTACTTATGGGCTATATTCCCCAAGAATAATCAATGTAAGCATGAATGAGGCAATAACACATGTGGAAGCATCATATGGACTCAAGAGATCATGAAGGAAACCATAAACGGAATCACAAACGTAATTTGACGCTCGTCGTCCATAAGTTGGACGGAGGATCCCATCCCTATTTTAAGGAGAAACATAGTATGTATATGAGATAATAAGTCTAATCAACCCATTAGGATCCCTCTAGAATCAATTTAGAACCAAAGAACTCAAAATTTATCCAACTCTTTGAATTTCCAAATATTTCGACAGCGTTTCTCCTAAAACTGGATGATTCTAGAAAAATAGCAAGCACTACAATATACAAAGGAATGGATACTCATCCAATATGATAACATCAATCTAAAGGAGATCCAGTTATCCATAATAGTGTCAAACGATCGACAAAACAGAATGATGAACATAATGTCGGCTCATAATGACTCACTTGTGACATGAAAGTCTAAATATGATTTAGGAATAATATAAATATTAACACATGATAATTAAGCTTATATAATCATAAATGAAGTGATTAGGATCATATGAGATTTAGGTATACATAAAAACATCAAAGTAACGGAACAAACATAAGTCCGGATGGCATAGGCCAAATGGGCGATTAGCCTTTTTTGTTTTTGTTGTGTTTTGAAGTTCCAACTTAAACTAGTTTCTTCCATACTTTACATATGGAATTGAATAATATACAAGAATACAATACATTCTGAAATTTCTCTTGAACAACTTTTAAAATATCAAGAAGAAAGTCTAAAACATAGCTAAACCAAATCATGCCGAAAACGAAACGAAAACCCTACATACCTCTTGTGTTCTTGCTTCTAGACCTTGTTCCCTTTGATACACACCCTTCATTATTCTTGTATATCTAAAATACATAGGTGAAAATCTTTCTTAGCCGAGATTCTCTTTCCAAAACTTGAGTTATAAGGAGAAAGTAGGACGAAAAAGTCTTACCTATGTCGTAAGGATCACGTTGATATGTTTGCTTCTTGATTTTGAGTTATGGATGATGGACTTGCTTCAAAACGCTATGGAACTTCTTGGATATCTATATAAGCTCTACTTGTGCGTAAATTTTTTGGAAAATGAGGAAAAAGAAGACTAAGTTTTCTATTTATAGTAACGTTGAAAAGTCAACCACATGTGTGCTTCACCGACCCTTAATCCGACACTCATATCTCTTTATCTGGACGTCGTATGAATGAACGATAAAATGTCTTGGAAAATAAATTACAAAAACTTCAATTTGTTATATAATATGTCCCCAAAATACCTCATATAACACATAAAATTAATTTCTCAAAAAGCTTCGTTACAAGGCAAATCCTTAGTCGTCTTTTCCGCAACTTAAATCCGATTTTTTCCAAACTTTATATTTTATATCCAAGCATCATATATATTTATATTATGACTTCATACTCATTTAAATCATGCTTAGCAAGTCATTTACATAATATACAATATCACAGAAGTACGTGGTATAACAATCTCCCCTCCTTAAGAACATTCATCCTCGAATGTTGACTGAGGTATATAGAAGCATTAAGCAAAGATCCGTTATATACCTGGAGTAGTGAAGAGATGCGGATATATGGATCTCATGAACCTGCTGTTCTAAAATGGCAACAGGTACATCCTTATAAGTCAACTGCTCGGTGATCCGTACATCATCAACTGGTACAACTCTGGAAGGATCTCTAAGACACTTCTGAAGCATGGAGACAAACACTAGATGTACCTCCTGAAGGTCTGCTGTAAGGTCCAACTTATATGTTACACGACCAACTCGTCTGATGATCTAGTATGGACCTATATACCTTGGGCTAAGCTTTCCCT